AAATAAATAAATAAAATCTTCAAAAAATAAAATATTTAGTGGCTAAATAATTTCCTCAAAATAGGATAGTCAATACTTAGAAAATTTTTAAAGCAGTGCAGCCCAAAAGTGATATCTCAATAGATATGAAATGCTATATAATCTTTCATTCTGTTTTAATAAGACAATTACCATTATTCTGGAATATTAACAAGAAAAGAATATCAACTTACAGAACCAGACAATGCCCCTGAAGTAAAGTTGATCATAAATGTTGGTTCATATAAACCAGATTTTGCACACAACCACTTCCTTAAAACTTCATAGTTATACCAGTACATTGCTATAAAAACAGAAAATGAAATGAACACATAATTTAGAAGTGAAATGGGGACTTTAAATATATAAGGTTATATATTAAAGGAAAAGGGAAAGTCTAACCCTGATACATCCTACTTTCTGCTTGGACACACATACTAGGTGAAACTGAAAAATTCAAAGAAAAAAAATGGAACCAAGTTCTCAGAAATATTCTAGCAGCCTTATAAACAAATATACCACAGTAAAATAGGACTTTAATTCTAAAACCTGACAAGGACAATAGAAGAAAGGACAACTATAATTCAATCTCATTCATTAACACAGGTATAAAAATTCTTAAAAAAAAAAAAGGTAACCAAACCCAGAAGTATTTCATAAAACATCATATACTATGACTAAATTGGGTTATCATAAGAGGAATGCAAAGGTAGTAAATGTTAACAAACCCTTTAAATGCGAAACACCACATTAAAAGAATCATGGGATCATCTAAAATTGATGGAAAAGCATTTCATAAAATTCAACCCATTTTCATTTTTAAAGCAAAGCAATTTCTTCGAAACCTTGAGATAAAAGGAAATTTCCTTAACTAGAAAAAGGATATACATCAAGAACCCTTAGCAAAAGTAATTAATGGTGAAACAATTATTTCCTTAAGAATGAGAAAAATGATAGGGATGCAACATCATTGCTATTATTCAAAACTGTCCTAGGAAGCGTAGTAAGATACGAAAAAAATAAAAGCTCTGTTAATTAAAAATGGAGAAACAAAATAGTTACAATTTACATATTTATGTCTATACAGGACATCCAAAATATAGGCAAAGTAAAATTAATAATAGTTTTAAAAGTAGCTGAATATTAAATATAATCTAACACAGGAAAATTAATTTTAACACTGCACTGGCCTGAGATTTGGAATTTTTATTTTAATAGAGCTTTTAAAATAGCTACCAAAACTGGAGGTGGGTGTTAACTATAAATAAATCTTAAAAAAAAAAAGGTTGTATATAGTATTTATGAAGAAAAATTTAAAACTCTACTAACACACTTTAAAGAAAAATTATATAATAGAGATGACATGCTTGGGGAAAAAAATAAGGTAACATCAAGATTTTTAATAATGCACCAGTAGTTTAGACAACACCAGTATCAGCACAGGCTCAGACAAACTGGCCAGCAGAACAGGTGTATGCATGCGTGAGGCTCTGATGGGTAACCCTGCAAATCCCTGGAGCAAGTGTGGTGATTCATAAATGATGCTGGTACAACCATCCATCCATATGGGGGGGGGATAAAGTTGATCATTTATCTCAGTTCTTAACTGCAAATTATGGATAAATGGCCAATGAAATGGTGCGCAACCTCATCAACAGGCAGGCAAATATATAAGTTAAAGTGAGATACCACTTTAAATTACTAGAGAAACAAAATTTAAGAGCTTTGACAGTAAAAGTACTGGTGAGGGTATGAAATGAACAGGAAGCTGGTAGGTGTACTGATCTATATAGTCACTTTAGAAAAGAATCTGACATTATGTAATAATTAAAATGTATATATTTATGTGAACTAGCAAATTGAATACTGGAGAAGTCCTTGTATGTGTACACCAAGAGTCTACTAAAAATATTCACAATAGCACTTTGTTTACTCATAAATGAGTAAAAATGAAAAAGTTTCACATAAAAACAAAAATGAAACTTAAGATTTTTGAGTAAAATAAGCATTTTTTAAAGCTCAAAAATAGGGGCGCCTGGGTGGCTCAGTGGGTTGGGCGTCTGCCTTTGGCTCAGGTCATGATCTCCAGATCCTGGGATTGAGCCCTGCATTGTGCTCCCTGCTCAGTGGGGAGCCTGCTTCTCCCTCTCCCTCTGCGCCTCCCCCTGCCTGTGCTCTTTCTCTCTCGCTCTGTGTCAAATAAATAAAATCTTAAAAAAGTAAAGCTCAGAAATAGGCAATACTAAGTAACATACTGTTTGGCAATAATACACATGTAAAACCATTTTTTAAAAATCAAATGAATGATGAAGTTCAGTACAGTGGTTACCACTGGAGATGTTGACAGCGGAGGTGAATGAATATATGTGGTTTCATGATTTAAAAAATTGCAGTGTTCTCGTTCAGAGATTGAATGGTGACCTCACAAGTGTTCGTTTTATTAATATACTTCATAATTTATACTACATTACTTCTTATGTGTCAAATATCATATAAAAAAATGAAGAAAAATAATTGGCCTAGGAATCTGTATTTTTAAATCACATAACTAAACACAAAAGGCTGAAGAGGAATACTAATGGAAAGGGCAAGATGCACAGAGATGTGAAGAGAGCACAAGAAAAGGATTAATTCGAAGGGGGAAAAAAAGGAATTTTGAAGCATGCACATTTTATAAGTTGTTAGTTTTGCACTTTTTCATGATTTTCTCCCTCCTTCACAATTCAATAATTAGCACAATCTCCTCTCTGATTTATAATAGTATTTTACAGGATACTCATTTAAAGGGGAAGATTTTTATCTCTAATAACTGAAAAAGTAGAAATCAATATAATTGACAGGAGCTCTTAAACATTTTATATTTTGATTTGTAGTAGTTCATTTACCTTAGTAATTATCGCATTTAGGGTAATGTTAAAGGTAGTTTGTTTTATCTAAATGTGAATATATACCGATTAATAGCTTTAAAAAAAATGAAACAGAAGGAAAACAGAAAGTCAGGCTTGAATTAGAAACTACTTGTCCAATAAAGACTCCTCAAGACATGAGGGCCCAACACTGAACTAGGAATTTGTGGTCACCAAAGAAGATAACTTACCTTTAGCCTTAAAGGGCTTCAAATTTACTTAATTTAAAAGTGATATATATAATGAATCATTGAACACTACATCAAAAACTAATGATGTACTATATGTTGGCTAATTGAATAAAAAATAAATAAATAAAATAAAAGTGATATATACATAAGACAACGCTACCTAAAATTTAGCAGATACTAAGATAAATCCTACCTGAGAACGGTACATCTCTAAGAACAGTAGGAATCCAGCCCCTCCAAAGGGAAATCCAACCATCTTCAGATACTTTCTTGCTGACAAATCGATGCAATTCTTTGTAAGAAAACTTCTTAGATTGCATCTTGGTTCTAATCAATTCTAATGGACTTATCACAGTTACTGCACCAACTAATATAAACAAGCAAATATAACAAAACAAAAACAAAGCCATGTACTACGCAAACACACATGCAAAAATATTTCATGCATTTTATATATATATCTTTCATTCTGAAATGTCTGCAAGCCTTAAAATCAAATATCTAATGATGCCAACATATTGGTGCACATTTTTTTTTCCTTGATAAAGGTATTTCTTAAAAGCCTGCTTTCATGTAACTTATTCTTTCTGGTTTCAACTCTTTGTTTTTAAGATTTTATTTTTTTTTAAGTAATCTCTACACCCAGCATGGGGCTCGAACTCACAACCCCAAGGTCAAGAGTCGCGTGCTTCACCAACTGAGCCAGCCAGGCACCCCTGGTTTCACCTCTTTCACGAGCAGTTCCAGAAATATTATACATCAATTAAACTACTATAAAACCTCACTCCCACAGCACAGAGAAAAATATCTTTCTGTACAGATGCAAATTTCCTTCTCATTAAACTCTGAATCCCAGAGTTATCTATAAGGAAAAGGATTCAGGACTTGGGCATCAATTTGACATCAACTTGACATCTGATATCTGACATCTGATGTCATTGTAAAATCTAGAATCTAAAGTCTAAACTCTCTGTCCAAGATTCAATAGGGATGGCTTGATTCCATCTTATTCTGATGGCAATCGCTACATACTATATGACTAGAATTCTAGAGTATAGGTATTAACAAATTAGTACAAGCTACAATGCAAAATGTACCAACACTCTGCATTTTCTACAAAATTATCTGTGACTGTCAAAATTGTAAAAGAAGTTTTAAACAGAAATCAAAATGAAAATACAGTAAGTTTATTACTTACATCTGGCAACAATTCCGGCAATAATTGGTATATGACTTTCATTTTCTCCTAATTTTGATCTCAGGAGAGCAGATAATTGATCATAGCAGGTAAAATAAATAACTGTGGCAGGAACTGCCATCACTCTGTTCGAAAAACACCAACAAAAAGATGTATACAAAACTGTCAAAAGGCTTAAATGTATTATTATTAAATATAAGCTAAAATCCTTATATTATATATAAGCTGAAAACCGTAACAAATCAGCCAATGAGATCGATTTTTCTTTTAAAATTATTAGTGTTTAATTTAGGCAACAAAAAGGTGTACAATAGTATCTGCCCTATAGTTTAGAGTCTAGTTGTAAAGATAAGTTACAGAGCACTTGCTCAGGTCATAAATAGGAAAAGACTAAAGACTACCTCCTTGATTTGCTCTATTGTTACTGGTCTCCCAAAAATCTTCCTTCCTAATTACATTCACTGTAATATGAAAATCCCTGAAGTAAAAAATACAAGAGCATTTGTAAAATATTTTTGAACTTTGGACAGAGCATCATACCTGCTTGTATCTAGAAATAAATTACAATTAATGTTGCTAGAATATATATAGTTTTGAGGAAATTCCAGTGACATATTCTTTCAAATGAAATCATCAAAAGGGAATTATTAATAAAATTAAACACAAAGTTGCAGGCACTGTCATGTTATACATATTAATACAACAAGAAACCAGTTTATGTTTATGGTCTGACTAAGGGACATTCACAGACCATACTTTGAAATGCCTAATGTTCCATAGTGAAGTCTGATGATGAGAATTTAGAAATAGAATTGACTGCCGGGCTTGGATCAGCCACTAACTTGATCACCTTAGGCACTGTTTAAAATGTATGCCTCAGGGGCGCCTGGGTGGCTCAGTCGTTAAGCATCTGCCTTCGGCTCAGGTCATGATCCCGGGGTCCTGGGATCGAGCCCTGCATCGGGCTCCCTG